CGGTCGGCATTTTTTAGACACTCTTTCACGCTTTGTTTCGTTTCATTGTAAATTCCCGGGATTACCTTCTCTGAAAAATGTCCCCGGCATGGCATCTTAAACTTGGGCTCCAGCACCTTGAACATTTGGATGAATTTTCTGTTCGCTTCTATGTTAAATGGAGCCATGTAGTCCGCTATGAACTCACCAATGAGCCGGGTTATCTGTTTTGCACGTGGACTTGACGGAAGTAGAGTTGGTGTCAGTGCTTGTTTCATGGTCAGCTGTCCTTTCGGTAGGCTTGTTTTCGCCAAGGCCGTCTTCACATTTTTATGGTAACGTTGAAGGTGGTGGTTCATGTTTGTTGTGTTGGAGGTGGTGTACGGAATGACAGCATAGCATAGCTTACACACAGTCTTGGTCTTTTCCGTTACTCTGTTGCCGTTATTGTCTTTTTTAACCGGAAAGCCAAAATACTGCCAGACAGATGACCTGTATCCAGGAGGAGCATCCTCAATTTTGACCTCATTTGACTCCATTGTTCTGCTCTTTCGGGGCAAGGCAGTTGGTGGCACCAACTTGGTGCTAATGCTAATATTTGTTCGCTCGCTGTAGCCTGCAGTGTTGTTGTTACAACATGCGCTGTGACTTAACGTCATGACGCACTGCACCGTTCCCCGGATGTTTTTTTAATTTATTTTATTTTGTTTAGTTTTACCCTGCTTTATCAGCAGAGATGGTGCTATCAGCCTGTCACCATAGACTGTAGGCCTGCCCTACTACTACACAAATCATGCAGCAGTGCCGACTAGCCTAATTTCGTGGTCCATATTTTTTTACCTCGATGCATTTCGTCACATTTTGTATCGCGAGTTTTGGCCAAACGATATTTTGTCACATCCCTAGTACAAACCCAGTGGCATCAGGGCAGCCAACTCTCACCAGAAATGAGCTCGACTAACTGCCGGCAATGCGGACCGAGCTCTGACACCAGTCGTACAGGGTCCTAACAGCCCGTATCAGAGGGCCTGGTACCCCATAATCCTGAAGTACCCCCCAGAGGGTACGGGCTGTTAGGACCCTGTACCCTACCCTGTACCCTACAGGTCCAGTCAATAAAAGGAGTGTTGCAGGTTTGATTTCTGATCCCATGGAAATCTGTGTAGAGCTGCGTGAGTAAAAACAAAACATTTACCCACTACTAGACACCACCATGGCCGTATCTACCATTGAGGACCTTGAGGTCTGGACCTCGGTATTTTTTCTGCAGAATATTTAAAAAATAATCTCTAACTGTGCATTTACAGCATTTACTTTTTAGAAAACATACTTGTCTGATTTTTGTTGAATTTTTAAATCATTGAAATGTTTGTAGCTCCTACACTGTAAAAGTTGTTGTCACAAAATCATGCCTGCTGGTCAACAGTAACCGGCTCTACATACTCCAACAAGTACGTTTGTGAAAAAAATACATCTCTGATTTTTCATTTATTTTACTGTAAACTGTAGTGACACACAAATGGCCCCTGCTGATAGCCAATTTCCTAGTACTCTTTATCAATACTTTCAAAATTTAACAGTCAAAGTTTTTATTTTTCGATCATTAACACTTGGTCATTTGCATATGAACGTTTTTACGAGGTTAAATAATTTGATCAAAACAATGCACCTGCTCATCTCTGCTTCTCCAAAAACAAATCACAAATCAAATATGTCAACTGAAAAGGCACCATACACTAAAATGTACTACACACACACACACACACACACACACACACACACACACACACACACACACACACACACACACACACACACACACACACACACACACACACACACACACACACACACACAAATAGTTGACTGAACAATGAAAAAGATTTAAAATATAAACTCAACTCTCCCAAAATAGTAATACGTTGCTTATGAATCAAAAGTGAAAACTGTTTTCCATAATGTGCATCATCAATCAATCTTTATTTGTACAGCACCTTCCACTGCCTTTGCAGGAGCCCAAGGCGCTGAACATAAAATACAGTAAAAACACAGATAGAATAAAAAAGAGATAAAAACAACATACAGACATAAAAGCACCATACAAAATGTAAACAGGGAGCATAAAAGCATACAAGTCACATAAAAGCTAAACGATAAAAATGAGTTTTCGAACGACTCTTAAAAACATGCAGCGACGGTGACAGTTTAATATCAAGTGGAAGCTCATTCCAGAGAGAAGGAGCCAAGACCGAGAAAGCCCGGTCACCTCTAGACCTGTACCTAGTTTGTGGGACAGTCAGTATATCCATCATCATGCTTATGTAAACAGATGATGTAGACAGAGTAAAGTAATAGTCTCACAACATTTCAGTCATGCTGTGGTGTAGAGTACACCTCAGTGTTAAGACTTACAAAACAAAGACCCGCATATAGGCCTCCCTCACACACATACAAGTACTTGACAGATATGAGTAAAAAAGTGACATAGAGAACAATGACACTAATTGTAAACAATAAATTATCCATTCCAAAATACAAGTACTTTGCATATGAAAGAAACGTTTGCGCTGCTTTCCTTAATGTGCATCATCATTCTTATGTAAACAAAGGACAATCAAGTCCTCGGCTCATAAATTTGAAGCTGTGCTGTCTTGTCCAGTACAACTCCATGTTCACACTTCCAACCAAACACCTACATGTTGTTTACATGCTGCTGTTTGCACATGTCACAACACCAAGGTGTCTTTTTGCTTGACATCTGGAAGGCAGTCATTCCAAGGCAGAGCGTGTGAAACCATGTTGAACAACTTCCACGTTGAATCTAACAAGGACAAAGAAATGCATCCACATAACCTTTGTTACAGAGCACTTCATTACAATATTTGTGATCAATTTCATGCCATAACTGTTAATCTTTACTACAAATGATCAGTTAAAATTTACATCATTGGTATTATCAGTACACGTGTTTAGATCTTCTCATGTCACATACCGATGGAATGGATCTTTTTTTACATAGGTACTACCAAATAAATGAGTAGAGGGGCAAACAGTAAACGGCTTCTATTTCCATTAAACCATATATAGCAGTGTTTCCCAACCCTGGGTACCTGGCACCCTAATGGGTTCTCCACAAGATTGCAGGGGGTCCACACACTTGTGTCTGTGATGAAGTTGTGAGGTTCTAAAGATGATATTTTTCAAAATTAAATTTATAAACTGCTCAGGACACAAACAATTGTACAATTAACACTGTGTATTAGAGTTACAACCCTTATGGATATATAAAATGTAGAATCATTCACTTTTGATGTGCGTGTGCGTAGGGATTGTGGTTGTAAGTGTGTGTGTGGTTCCGTGTCACTTCATTGACGCTCGAACGCTCGGGGATTCCTAGATTAAACCGAGAGCCGGCGTTTCACCGACGCTATCACTTCAGCGTCTGTGAGACAACGCTCTCTACAAGCTCAACTCCCGTATCCAGCCGACCAGTCTGACAGGATGACTGAGTCCGTTAACCCAGCGGAGTTTGAGCAAATGAAGAAGGAGATAGTTCAGCTCCACGCCTTGGTCGATCGGCTCAACACCAAGGTGAACTCCCTGACCGACCTCACCCTTCAGTTGACCACATCCCTCAATGCTCTCCGGCAGCAAGCCCTCGCTCCACCTAAGGAGGAGCCGCAGTTCAGCCTACCGGAGAGGTGGAATGGAGAGGTTGGGAGCCCAGATGGTCTGCTCACCTCCCTCGATATGCAATTCGAGTGCCAACTGGGACGCTTCCCCACTGCCCGCTCTCGGGTTGTGCACCTCACCTCCCTGCTTTCTGGACGCGCTCAGGAGTGGGCCGCTGCTCTTTATAATTCTAAATCCCCTGCCTGCAATGACTATGCTGCTTTTGTGGCCGCCCTCAGGAAGACCTTCGATTTACCCAGTAGCGAAGTGGGGGCTGAAGCACGTCTCTTAAAGCTCCGCCAACGTGAATGCTCTGTGTGCGCCTATGCGTCAGAGTTTTGCACCATCGCGGCCAAACTACAGTGGGATGACTCTGCCCTTCGAGCTGTTTTTTTGGAGGGGTTGGCGCCCTACATCCGAGACGAGATGGTGGGAAGAGAACTACCCCAGACCCTGGATGAGATTGCCGACCTGGCTTTGTGCATCGACCAGCAGGTTCTGGTTCGAGCCAGATCATCCACTCGCCCACTCAGAGTGCACGGACCTCTTCCTCGTTCACCAACTCCAGCTTCCAGACCCACTTCTACTGAGGAGCCTATGCAGCTAGGCCACCTTCCCCCGGAGGAGAGACAGCGACGGTGGTGCGAGGGTCTCTGTGCCTATTGTGGCTCTCCCGACCACCGGCGCCTGGACTGCCCATTACGGCCGGGAAACGGAGGAACCCACTGAGTATCGGGGTAGCTCAGCCCGGGTCACCCTCTGCCTCTACCTCTTCCCACTGACTCCTCCTTCCTGTCACCCTCCTACACGATGAGACCTCACATCAGGTACATGCTCTGGTGGACTCGGGGGCCGCCGGCAACTTCATGGATGTGGATCTGGCTAAACGCCTACGGATCCCCCTGACTCCCCTGGAATGAGTTGTTCCGGTGGCCTCGGTGGACGGCAGACCTCCCCAGCCCTATCCTGTCCAAGACCGAACCCAGTCTCTCCAGATGGTCCTCCAAGGCCACTGGGAAACCCTCCACTTTCTCATCATCTCTGCTCCCTCCTCTCCTCTAATCTTGGGGTTCCCCTGGCTCCGTCTCCACGACCCCCAGATTCCCTGGTCCCAGAACCGCCTTTTAGGCTGGGGGACCCAGTGCCAGGCCCACCTCTCTCCTCCTCCGTCCATGGCAGACCGCCCGGCTGGTGGTCTTGGTCCTCTACCGCCCAATCCGCCACTACCCTATTGAGACCTGGCTGCAGTCTTCGATAAGCGACGCGCCACCACACTGCTGCCTCACCGCCCATATGACATGGAGATCAGGCTACAACCAGGTACCAGTCCTCCCCGTGGGCACCTTTTCTCTCTCTCTCCCTCTGAAACCAGAGCTATGGAGGAGTTTTACTGCTCGGTCCCTGACAGTTGGTGGCAGAGGTGGGATCTTCCAGTTAAAGGACATTGGTAAATAGATTCTCCCAAATTTTTTTTCTCTTCTTTTATCCTGACGAATCTACAATGAAGGGAACCAAATCTGGTAAAATCAAGTCAGCCCCTTTAGAGAGAGAAGCACAGACAGAGGATGGGAGTGAGGGCTGTGGAGCTTCTGCTGAAGAGGAAGTTCATGGCAGAGAGCCAAAAATATCAGACCTGGCTGGCATCCTTCAAGCTCACATTGGACGACAGGAAGCCCATGAGGTACAGTGGGAGAAGGTGATTGTACGCCAGGATCAAAGATTTAAAGATCTTCAACACCAGTTCAGTCTGTTTCAGCAAGAGTTTCAGGCCCAGACCTCTGCTGGCTTGCTACCTGGAGAGCAAGACCACGCCTGCTTCTCTGCAGGTTTGGGGCCTGCAGACCATGAGAGGCCTCATGAGTATGCTGATTGGGATGAGGTGGAACCGGAGCCTGCACCACGCTGTTCAAAATCAGGTGACTCAGTTTCTGTTCATCCTTCCGATAAAGAACCAAGATTGCAAAAGCTAAGTGAAGAGGATGACATTGAGCATTTTCTTATAACTTTTGAAAGAATAGCATGTGCATGTAGATGGCCGAGATCTGACTGGGCATTCCATTTGATTCCACTATTGACGGGTAAAGCCAGAAGTGCTTATGTACATATGGATGTGGATGCATCAATGGACTATGATCATGTTAAAGCTGCTATTTTGCAGAAATATGAAATAAGCAGTGAGACTTATCGTCTGAGGTTCCGTTCTCTTCAAGTTGAACCAAATGAGTCCCCCAGAGAACTCTTTGTGAGACTAAAGGAGCTCTATGGGAGATGGGTCAGACCCAGAGGTAAGACCATTGATGAAATTAATGAAACAATAATCCTTGAACAGTATTTCCGAATGCTATCGCCAGAACTCCAAGTTTGGATCAAGGAGCGTAATCCAAGGGACGCAGCAGAGGCAGTTTCTTTGGCAGATGCGTTTGTGGCAGCCCGTCGAAGGAACCAATCATGGGCTTATAAGGCTATGAAAAAGGATTATACCCCTGCGCCAGGTAACACCAGTCCGACAGAGAATGTTGGTAAGCCATGTGGAAGGGAGAAATATTTTCCCAGTCAAACAAAAAATCTGGGGCGGAAACCTGTCTGTTATTTGTGTGGGAAAGAAGGCCACACAAAACCGGTGTGTCCACAAAATCCAGCTAAACTCTCCCAGATGTATTTTGTGCCCAGAGGGAACCATGCCCCAAACCCAATGAACCAGCTGTTGGTGGAGACCACAGTGGAGATAGATGGACAGAAAGTTAAGGCTCTGATTGACACAGGAAGCACCCAGTCACTGGTTCATCGCAGGTACGTCTCACCAGCTCACATCTGCACTTCTGAAACAATACCAATCTGCTGTGTGCATGGTGATGAAAAACAATATCCAACAGCGGACGTCTATATGAAAGTGCAAGGACATGTGTACCTATTAAATGTGGGTGTCATGGACAGATTACCATTTCCTGTTGTCTTGGGGAATGATTTACCAGTTCTCACTGACTTGATTAACGATCCTAAAATGTGCAATGTGGCAATAACACGGTCTCAGTTGAAAGCTCCAAGGGAAGATGATCGCAGTTTAAGAGCTTTACCATTTTTTGGGGCTGAGATTGAAGCTGGCCCAACTAGAGAACAAAAGTCTCGTAGGCAGCGCAAACGGGACAAATTTAAAAACACAACAGTGTCCACTCTGTTACCTGAACCTGAGGTACAGCTAAGATTTGAAATTCCTGACAACATTCTTGAGCTGCAGCATCAGGATGCAGGCTTGGCTGACCTTATTAAGGGAGCTGAAGAAGGTGGGACTGCAAAGGAATTCTGTTTGCAAAATGGCATCCTTTATAGACAACATGGAGAACTGAAACAGCTTGTGGTACCTAGAGCAGCCAGAGAAACTGTTTTATCTTTGGGCCATTCAATTCCTTGGGCTGGCCACCTAGGGAAAAATAAGACCTTAGCCCGTATCCAACAGTATTTCTACTGGCCGGGATTGTACAGAGATGTTGCCAGTTTTTGCAGGAGTTGCCCTCAGTGTCAAAAAACATCAGCCCGATTCGCAGCAAGAGCTCCCCTACAGCCTCTTCTCATCATAATGACACCATTTGAACGTTTGGGGATGGACGTTGTGGGCCCAGTGGAGAAAAGCAAATCAGGTAACCGATTTATGTTGGTTATTACTGATTATGCCACAAAATATCCAGAAGTGTTTCCGTTGAAGTCTGTTAAAGCCAAGACTGTTGCATTTTGTCTGGTTCAGTTTTTTGCACGAGTTGGGTTCCCTAAAGAAATATTGACAGATCAAGGGACCAATTTCATGTCCAAGTTGCTCAAGGATGTGTACAAGCTGATTGGTATTAGTAGGCTGAGAACAACGCCATATCATCCACAAACTGATGGCCTTACAGAGAGATTTAACCAGACCCTTAAAAACATGCTTCGTAAGTTCATCAATGAATAAAGGTCTGATTGGGATCAGTGGCTCCCATACCTTTTGTTTGCCTATCGAGAGATTCCCCAAGCTTCTACTGGGTTTTCCCCCTTTGAGTTGCTCTTTGGGCATGACGTGCGAGGACCACTGGCGCTTTTAAAGGAAAGGTGGGAGAAGGAGAAATCTGGAAAGGAGCCTGTTAACATAGTTTCATATGTTCTCCAGATGAGGGACAAGCTGGAGAAGATGACCACCTTGGCTCAGGAGCATATGAAGGTCTCCCAGCAAAAACAAAAAACCTGGTATGACAGAACTGCTCGAGAGCGGCATTTTGAACCAGGTCAAAAAGTTTTGGTTCTACTACCCACTGAAGACAGCTTTTGGCTCAGTGGCAAGGACATTCAAAAGCTCGGTCCCACGACCTATAAAGTCTGTAGTCCAGGTGAGAGGCGTAGTACAAGAGTCCTCCACATTAATCTCCTGAAGGAGTGGATTTCAAGGTCTGAGGAAAGGGAGAAACAAGATGTTTTTCTCATCAGAAGTGTGACAGAAGAGGAGGTGGAAGAACAATACCTCCCTCTACAGGTGACTTCTGGGCTTGACCTGAGCCATCTGTCCCCTGAGCAGCAGTCACAGGTGAGGGCCATCTGTAATGCCAATATTTTTCAAGATAATCCTGGGTGTACAGACTATATCAAACATGAAATTCTTTTGAAAGGAGATGCAGTGGTAAAACGAAGGAGCTACAGGATCCCTGAGCGCCTCTTGGGGCCTTTAAAGGAGGAAATTGAGTTGATGCTTTCTCTGGGAATTATTGAGAACTCCCAGAGTGAATGGTGCAATCCTGTTGTCCTGGTACTGAAAAAAGATGGCACCTTGAGGTTCTGTATAGACTTCCGATACCTGAACTCTGTTTCTAAATTTGATTCTTACCCAACTCCTCGTATTGATGACCTAATTGGTTGTCTTGGCAGAGCAAAATATCTTACCACCATTGATCTCTCCAAGGGTTATTGGCAGGTTCCTCTTGCCACTAGATCCCGTGAGCTGACTGCCTTCAGAACACCCTGGGGCCTTTACCAGTTTACAGTCATGCCGTTTGGGCTGCATGGAGCACCTGCAACGTTCCAGAGACTTATGGACAAGGTATTGGAAGGAAAATCTCACTTTGCATCTGCCTACTTGGATGATATTGTCATCTACAGTAACAGCTGGGAGGAACATCTTGAACATCTCACAGTTGTGTTTGAGTGTCTTCACACTGCAGGTCTGACTGTGAATGCAGCTAAATGCATGCTGGCGAAGAAGGAAGTACAATACCTGGGACACATTATTGGCAATGGAGTCATTAAGCCTCAGATTGAAAAGGTTCAAGCCATTCAGTCATGCCCTTTGCCACAAACCAGAAAGCAACTGAGATCATTTCTGGGCATGTCGGGTTGGTACCATATATTCATCCCTAATTTCTCTGCCAGAGCTGCTCTGCTTACAGATCTGACCAGCCTCAAAGGATCTAACCAGCTCGAGTGGTCAGACGAAGCGAAGATGGCATTTGAGGACATCCAACATGCCTTAAGTGGACCTCCAGTGTTACATTGTCCAGACTTCAAACAACTATTTGTTTTGCAGACGGACGCATCTGATCGTGGCCTAGGGGCTGTGTTGCTTCAAGGGCCTCCAGACAGACGACATCCGATTGCTTTCATAAGCAGGAAACTTTTCCCAAGGGAAACCCGCTACTCAACAGTAGAAAAGGAGTGCCTGGCTGTTAAGTGGGCTTTGGATTCATTCAAATACTACCTGTTGGGGAGAAGATTCATCCTAGAAATGGACCACAAGGCTCTAAAGTGGCTTGAGAGGATGAAGGACTCGAACAGCAGAATAACTCGCTGGTACCTGGCGATGCAAGCCTTCCAGTTTGAGATTCATCATATACCTGGGAAGCAAAACTCCACTGCTGACTACCTGTCCAGCTGGCCCATGGAGTTTCCAGAGGAGGGGGAGTGTGTGGAGGTTCCTCCAGCCATTTCTCAGTGTCAGTATTATTTAAATATCTTTTTTCCACACGCTGGTTTATTATTTCATTTTGTTGCAATATTGTAAGTTTACTAATGGGTGCACACATTTAGTAATTTATCTTGCACATAGTTTTTTTGATCATTAACTATCATCATTTGTATTCTGAGATTGGATGAACTGGCAGAGAGAGGGGACACACCCAGTGTAACTCCATGCAGGAAGTGGAACATTCCATCTGGCTCCTGGAAGCAGGGAGCTTGATAATGAAGAAACCAGAAACCAGACGTTCTGAAGCTCTATTGAGTTTACCAGATTTTGTTAGGATGTATTAGTTAAAGCTTTTTTGTGGTAGTTCTACTTTGTTGACTTAGTTTC